ATGCCCTGGGTCAAGGGGGTGGCTGCTGGAAGACCCTATGTCTAGCAACAGGACTCTGCACCATGTCACACAAACAAGAGAACCCAGTCAATTCTATCAGACAATTTCTGTGACCACAGTACTCCCCAGACTACAACCCCCTCGATTATTAGGTGTGGGGCGCAGCTGGGGGAGAGTCCAAACTACCTGTAACACTAAAGATGAACTGAAGCCAGGGATTATGGCAGCATTCACCAACTTAAACAAGGAGACGTCTGGTTGCCGTGATTGAAGCAAATGACAATTTTATTGAATAAATTTACTCTTTTGTATTTCAAAATATTTATGTGTAATTTTGGTAAATATATCTGTTAAAATGGGACGTTCGTGTTATTTTTATTTTCATACGTAATTTAGAGGACAATTTATCCATCGCACTTTAATGCATATTTCCAATTTTCTAATGTTGTTTAGTATTTTGTGCTTGATGTGGATAAACTGTTCGAAGTACATATTTTGTTCAAGTACTTTCGACTATTGCAGTCATTTTCAAGATGCTACCAGAGTTGAAAGCTGACTAGAACAGATTCAAATCTAGACCTAGATTTAAATTTAGGGCCTTCTCACTCTTTGGAGGAACCCCTCCTAGACTGACCATGTCTTCAGTAGTGTAGCCGTTCCCACCACGCTTAGCCAATTGTTGATTAATGAGGCTGTTTAACCCGTAGCTGAAGGTCTTTGAAGCAGAGTACTTCTCGTAGACCCAAGTCTACCCGTTTGTTCTGTTTTTTACCTATAGCTGTTGGGAGGGGTGGAAAAGAAGAGATGAATTCATACCTTTCCCAAGGGTATTTGGATGTAAATGAATGTAACGGACTCGACTGTAATTCGAACTCAGCTCTCCGATTTCTCAATCCGAGCCGCGACTCCTAGAACGAGAATTATACAGTGACAATTTCAGTTAATACAGATAAGACTACGAGTTTACCGGGACACCTTTGTATATCGATATCCATCTGTTTACGCACAAGCATCTTAGTGTAAGTGTCATTATCATTAACTAAATATCAGGGTACGAACTTATTGATGTAGAAATGTTTCCAACACGAACCCTTTCCAACAATCATCTTCGAGACGAGATCGAAGCGTAGTATCTGTTCGCTTCTTTTTAGCTGGAAGACCGCACCTGGTTTCGGCGATTAAAACCTTACGGCGGCACCTTACACATTGCGCGAAGAGAGGAGGAGGTTGTTGTAATATCGACGTCAGTCGTCTCGGGGACTATGCAGTTTCTGCCTTTGGCCCATATGCTCGCCAATATCAGCCCTCATAAAAGAAGGCCTTGTATTAAATCCTACCATAGTTGGGAGGTTAGGTAAATAAAATCAGTATTTCAATCAAGAAACGTCGGAATACTGATTTGGGGAAGAATGTTGAGCCAACCCATTTTTATTTTTAAAACACTGTGTTGTACATCTATCAACATGCGCAATCGAAAAGAAAGGAACTGTAATCTTCGTCAAGGTTCAAACTTTCGTGCCCTTTTTGTAGGAGAAACCAGCGTTTGATTAGGTGTGTCTTACACTGTATGGCCACAGAGACTGAACAGTCCAGCAAGGTTCTATTTCCACATTCTTTTTTTTTCTTTAGAGGAAAGCACATTTCCTAAGTTCATATTTTTCTCGAAAGCCCATATCTGTTCAATTTCGTATTAGAAAAATAAATAAAACAATTTTTAATGGATTTATTTTTAATCTCAGATTTTTATTTCTGACAAAAAATAACGTTATTTTTAGTTGATGTAATGAATATGCATACACCTGGGTTACCCCTTACAGTAATATAATTGGCTGGTGTCAGCCATAAATACAGACTGATGTGTAGGTACATGGACTATGCCTATAGTCTTCGCCTATTGCCTACGCCTATTGCCTACCACTACGACGAGGACCAGTTCATTACGGTTACCTGCTAGATTGTCCTACCTGGTTACAGTAGTCAACAACTACTTTGCTACTTCGAACAAATATATCCCTTTTCCGGGACATATCATTAGTGGATACTCATATTCATTAGTTGGTTTTATTTTAAACAGTTTTAATTGCATATATTGTCCTGATTAATCGATAAAACTTAATAAAACATGTACTCTCCGGTCAGTTTCGAATTTGAGTCCCTTTTTTGTAGGAGACAGCATCGTCTGATCCAGTGTGCCTTAAACTGCTTTTCCACAGAGAATGAACAGTCTACCGAGGTTCTATCAACGCCCCGGTTTTTTTAAGGAAAACACATTTCCTTGTTTAGATATTTCTCGGAAAATAATTTCTTAATGGATTTATTTTTAATCTGACATTTTTTATTCCCTCACATTTTATTTTTATTGGATACTCGTATCTGATACCCGGTTTTATTTTAAATGGTGTTATTGCATCTATCGGCCTGCGTACCCGAGAAAACCTAATAAAGAAAAGGTACCCTCCGGCAGGATTCCGACCTGCGTTCCTCTTTTCTATTAAGGAATTTGTTTTGTCGGATTTTATAGAAATGTAGTATAAAGTAATTTCGGATGAGGAAATAAAGTTAGCATATATTGGTTTCGAAAGATCTTAACGGGTGATGTGCATTCCTTTAATAGAAATACTGAGCATTGTGTCTCCTTTTGCCTATATAAGAGGGACATTAACTTTATTAAACATTCTCGAAAGCTCAGGCCGGGTAGACGACAGTTACACTGTTTTAAAAAACAAACACATCTCGACACAAACAAGTATATTCTCTAAAATATATTTCTTATAGTAAGGATATCGAAATCGGCAGATAAGACCTAATTGCAAACCTATCAGTCACATACAGTAGAAGCCTTCAGCATCGGTCAAAAATTTCATACCGGACTGCCGAAAAACTATACGGATTTTATGATCAAAAACCATCACCATCACGACTCTGACTTCATCAAAGAATACATCCAAGGCCTAATCACAGCCACGCTTAAAAAAATGAACGATTGAGAAAAACTACAGCGCCTTCCATAATGTGTTTAATGGCAACAGTAAGAAATTGATACGTAAATTTGTAAGGATTAAAATAAATATGGACATATGTCTAGATTATTCAACCAAACATGCTAAAATGAAGATATGCTACTTAATTATACATACATACATACATACACATACATGCATACACACAGACACAGACACAGACACACACAGACACACACACACACACACACACATATATATATATATATATATATATATATATATATATATACATAAGAAGGTAACTTTTTTTCTATATCCCACACGGATAAAAATATAGGAAAAATAAGTTGAAAATGTAACTGGAGTTTTTAAAGAATATTTACAGTAACTTTACCAGTTTTACTTTTTTTGAATTTGTAGGTCTGATCAATTGGATCGTAATTACGATTCCATTATAATAAATTATAACCATGGAATATTAGTGTTTTATTACTCTGTTCTGAACATTGAGTTCTACCTGAATTCTATCCTCTTAGGAATTTATATATATATATATATATATATATATATACCACTAATATTATCATATATATATATATATATATATATATATATATATATATATATATATAAAGTTAAATTTACTTAAATATTATGTATCCTACTCAAACAGCTTCCTCGCATGTACCGCCGTTTTGTGAAGTCGATTCCCAAGAGGGTGCTTCTCCGATCACTACAATTTTAAGCTGTTCAAACTTAGGGTTAATCGTTATCTTCCACACATATTCGCATAAACTGTGCCTCTTTCTCTGTAACTCTCTACCTCGAGTGGATCTCAGGTCTTGTACAGGTAGAGCATCATTGTCAAAAATAAAAAAAATATATAATCGCGCTCATTTTCAACGACTGCAGGACAACGGAAAGGCAATTTTTAAGTTTTCTCTGAAGAAACAAAAACAAAACAAAACGAAATGCTTTCATCTCTTTTGTTTCAAAATGTTTTGCCACTTTTGAATTGTTACAAAGGCAAAAAAAACAAAAAAAAAAACAAAAAAACTAACATTTTCAGAACTGATAATTAATAAGACGTTCCCAGGTTTTGAATTTAGAGTTTTCTTTCTCTTAACCTGGCTGGCACACAAAACACTAGCGCCCACTCTGCCATTATATTTAGGTAAATATGGATTCAAGCCTTTTTACAAGGATGTGAACGAAACATGAATCGAGCGGTTCCACTTTACGCATCGATAACCGTTACATTAGCCTTACATCCAGATATATTTGCATATAGAGGATGCGGCAGAAGTTCCTCCTACATAATGGTAAGAGATTAGTGGAAATAGTGCCTTCATTTAGCCAATGTAGCAGCATTATGTGGGAGGTATTTCTAGAAGTTATATGTGGGAGGTATTTCTGCCGCCCCCTGTACATATGTACGCTCGCTCACAAATACGTTTACTAGACACACCCAGAGAAAGAAAATCGACGCATGCGCATAAAGATAACACAGAGTATAAATACATCGAGCAGATGCAGATTTACCGGCATTTAAATGTAACAGCTTAAAAAACACAACAGAAATCTAAATTTGAAACAGAAAACAAGCTAGGAACAGCATTCAGAAAGCTGCATATATAATACAAGCGATTTCGTAAAACACTTTCACTGTAACAATAAATGACACTACAGAAAAAAGAAAGAAACAGAACATTCAAAAATAGACATCACAAAGTTTGGCTGTTAGCTTTTTTAAGGTTAGTTTAGGCGCTGTCGACATTTCACATTCGTAAATTTTAAACAAATCAACAATCTAAACTGCTTGGTTCGCGACCGAATCCTTAAAAAAGAAAAAAAAAAACTGAAATAAAATTAAGTATAGAGTCTGCGGAGATAACAAAGTTTGCGTTATTTTACATATCGGACTTCACGTGGAGGTGGGAACTTGACATGCGATCGCCACTCCTTCCACTTCACATCAGTTAAACGACTGCCTGAAATCATCGATCGTCGTGGGAATGCTGTGAAACAATTATGCAGATGTTTTTCCCCAGTACTCAGCCCTTTTCCCAGAGAAGTCTTAGCCCGAGTGATTGCTCTGATATTCAACAAGTATTTATGTGCAGATCGACACAAAGCAACCAAACAACTGACGTTTAAATTATAAGTTCAGTTTAGCAGAACACAATAAAACAAAATTGCCGATCTTAATGTTTTTTTTTGTTGTCGTTGACTACATCATTGAAAGGGTAGAAAGGCGTTGTTTGCGTTGGTAAAAATGCTGGCTTAGAGTGGGTCAATTGAAATTGTATTGTTTCATATATTGTCTCGATTTTCCTGCTTATTTAATATAACCTTTTTGAACTGGATTAAAATTTTGTGTTCTAAACGACATCAAGATTTTTCCGGGTTATTTAATGCTGAAATCTGTCGTTTTGATGAACATTACAAACGTTGACATAAGTTTCGTTTGTAGGAAAGTAAGAAATATAGGTACAGGTCGGGTTTGCACGAGCATAAAAAAGGAAGATATGGGTTTGGTTTAGACGAGAGTAAAAATGGTGGACAAAGGTTTGATTTACACGAGAGTCAAACAGATAGACATGGGTTCAGTTTGCACTTGTCTCAAAAAGGTGCACATGTTTTGGCTTTGTAAGTGAGTCAAAAAGGTAGACATGTGTAAATAGGTACTCATATATCCGATTTGCATGAAATTCAGAAGGGTAAGCATGTGTTTGGTTTGAACGAGAATCAAAAAGATAGATTTTGGCTTTGCACGTGTGTCAAAAACGTATGGACAGCAAACAGATTACCTTTTTTATGGGTTTGTTCCTTTGTACGGAGATTCAGTCGGTGTATTCTTAACTCCAATGAGAGGGCGAAATATGACGTTTCGACCAATATTTTCTGTCCTGATCATGGTTTTTTTTTAAATATACCGAGATTAATCATTTTCATTAGTCCATATATTTTTCAAAACTATTCTCATTTTTGTAATATTAAATTCTGACCGATTCATTTTCCAACCTTCTCGAGGTCTCTGAAAATAGAGAATTAAATATTTATACAACATATGTTAAAAACTCTGATTTAATTTTTCTTGTAGTTAATACTTCATATCGAGCTAAAGAGAAATGGTTTTCACCAGGACTACTTTGCCAAAGACCCTACGCCTGAATGAATATCTACCGAGGCAGGTGCAGGTAACTTGTCAGGTGCTCAGCTGAGTAGAGACCCCACGGCCACGTCTGGTCATGATAATGATGATAATGATATCGTTCATTTCTTTGAGGTTAATATCTTGTGAAAAGATCTCTATGATTCAGCATATTTACAAACTTCTTCCGTTAATCGATTTTCGTATCTGTTTGAAGGAGGCCGATTGGAAGATGTGTGTATGTACAGTGGTTTATCATTGGGTTTTCTGTAAGGTTTATATGTGCTTTTTCTAAGGTTGAAGGTAACATCTAGAACATCAACTTCGTTTTGGTTAGTTTTTATATCTATGTCAAATCCGTTATTTTTAAAAATCCTTATTATTGCTTTTCTCGCTCTGTCTCTGTTTTGTTTGTTATAGTTTGTTAAGATTATGAGACCATCGTCCCTGTAGAGTCCTGTATCATTTGTATCTATTATTTCGCTTAGTTCATGTAGTAAATATATACCTATGATTTCGCAGGTCCCTGCACTGTCAAAGCTTCCCATTGTAGTGTCAAAGATCTCTTCTTTTTTTTATCCATGCGCCTTCATTGTGGAATAGTAGTGATTTACTAACCCTCCCAGACCAAAACAAACTATTAAATAAGCGACCTAAGCAAATTCCCACAAGTTTTTTTACTACGTTAATAAAACATAGGAAACCGAAAAGAATAAATAAATATATAAAATAAAAAATGAAAATGAAAAACAACTAAAATAAATTAACCCCAACAAATAAACAAATAAATAAACAAGCCACTGCCGCAAAAAAAAAAACGCCAGAATAGATTACCCACAATGCACCACTGACCCATAGATATAAATAGTAGAGAAAAAATCCAACACTCGCAGCTTGATGATTGCGTCTAGCCTAAACAGCCTGTCGCCTGCGACTGTTGACTTCAATGTTCACTATTATATATATATATATATATATATATATATATATATATATATAATGTCTGTGTGTTTACGTGTATGTGTGTGTGTGTTCACGCTTAGCGCATCATGTTTTTTATAAATCTTATTTCTCAGTCACTTTGAGAATATGATCGATGTTACCACAGTGACCTTTTTACGGTATTGGGTTCGATCCTTGTTCGTTGACATTAATTAAAAATTAATGCGTGAGAGAATAGTACTCATTTTAAACAGAAAAAAAATGGCGTATATTTTACATGTGCAAAACCTTAATTCTCATGCCGTTAATATATACTACTCTCACTGTACACATTTAAATATTTAATTCAAGAAACCAATCTTCCCGTTCAACGGGAAGAAGCAACATGAAAATCGACGAAACGAAAAAAGAAAAGTTATGATTTTGATGCCACTTTCTATTTAGGAAAATCTCGGGGATTTAGGAGAATATTTTGAAAGGATTTTCTTTCTTTCAGCTATGTTATACCATATTCTGTACATAAATACGCATAAAGATTTGTCTATAGAATTCTACGTTGCTCCCAGGGCCGGATTTAGACCATAAAGGGCCGGGGTTTTTTTCATTACGTATGCACACCGCGTATTTATAAGAAAATATATATTTTTAGATGAAGCTACACCAAAAATCTGTAGGTATATGAAAAAAAAGTAAGAGAATCTAAATGTATACCGTTCAAAGGTTCTCATCGAATTTAAAAAACCCACCCCAACTAGAGGGACTCAAATAATCTAAATTGTTTTAAAATTAATTCAAAGGCGCCCATTAAAACTAAAAATAAATAACTATTCTCTGTTCTTATATCTTTATTTTGTTTTTAATTTTGTCAGGGGCCCAAGACTAGAAGGCCCTTAGGCGAGTCTCAAGTTTTAGGGTCACTAGGCTACTGCCCATACTAGTCCATATGTAAATATGACACTGGTTGAGCCCATTAATTTCGTATGTTCCATAAATAGTATTATTTGTTTTTCAAAAAAAAAATAGAGACGAACGTTAATGGGTTTGGAAATACTTGTGACTATACAAAAGCCAGATCAGATGAAGAAAGGAGTTCTGTTGTCATATTTGGACGGGAGCTACCCAGACCGCTCTTTCCAGCCTCGATAAAGTCTAAAACCAACTCCGAGTCTTGCCACTTACACATACTTCCTTGTCGCAGGCCTCCGTCTCTGTGCTGGTGGTACCACGGCTACGACTAGCTTGGACCGGCTCTGACCAGTTTGGACAAGCTCTGACCAGCTAAGACCAGCTTGGACAAGCTATGACCAGCTTGGACAAGCTATGACCAGCTAAGACCAGCTTAGACCAGCGGCCCGAGTGAAAACACTCGGGTCCCCACGTTAAAAACTGACCTTGTGTCACAACCTGACTCAGTGGGGGGGAGGTCAAGTAAATCTCCTTACACTGTAGCACCTCCCCCATATTCCGACCGTATTCTATCGGTAAGTTCCTCTCGAAGAGTTTCTTTGAATTACTACTCTGTCAAACAGACTCCCAAGAGGATGTTTCTATGATGACTACAATCTTAACCTGTTCAAGTCTATAGCTAAACGTTATCCCCCTCCTATCCGTATAAACTACCTCTTAACGTAACCCTCTACTTCGAGTGGCTCACTTGCCATGTATAAGGTAAATCTAACAGTTAAAACAAATAGACGAGCAACACTAATGAGAGATCTCTTTGAATTACTCACACACATGCAAGGAGTGGACTTCATATATAAAGTAATGAGCCATGTTATTGGAAGATGAAACAAACAGTTATTTGCATTTGTACAGTAAAATGTGTATTTATGTGTTTCTAGATAGGATAGTTTTCTTGGATCCTCCCTTTAAAAAAAAAAGACGAAGGGAAAAATTAAAACAGTTTTCGTGCATAAAAAGAATGTAAATGTCTACTTAAATAACAGAAAATTGAAGAGAGAGAGAGAGAGAGAGAGAGAGAGAGAGAGAAGGGCAGGAGACATAGGGGAGAGATATAATTATTAGATGGCAGCTGAAAAGCAGAGATTATGAATTATTGAACAAATTAATATTTATTTTGAATTATATCAATGGAATGATTTTTCACTGGTATCACCAATTTCAATTCGCAGAATTGTATCTTCATTTTTACTGTTTATTTTATTTTTCATCCTAGTAAAGCGAAATCCAGGATTTCGCTTTACTATATTCTGCCAACATTTCTATTTATATCTTATGTTTCTTTTCTTTTCCTATTAAGCGCCTTCCATTCCTCAACCTCGCTTTCGCTTCTTTGTTTTCTTTTCTTTACTTTTTATCGCCTTTCCTTTCTTTTCTCTTTTATCGCCTTTCTTTCTTTTCTCTTTTATCGCCTTTCCTTTCTTTTTTTTTGTCGACTTTCCTTTTCTTTGTTATAATCTTTCCTTTTTTCTTTTCATTCGCCTTTCTTTTTTCTTTTTTTATAGCCTTTCCTTTCTTTTCTTTTTTATCACTTTATATTCTTCACCCACCTTTCGTATCTTTCTATCACCTTTCGTTTCTTATTCATCGCCTTTCCTTTTCTTTTTTATAGCCTTACATTCCTCAACCTCGTTTCGTTTCTTTCTTTTCTTTTTATCGCCTTTCTTTTCTTTCCTTTTTCATCGTCTTTCCTTTTTTCTTTGTCACTGCCTTTTTATCTTTTCTTTATATCGCCTTTCTTTTCTTTTTTACCGCCTTTCCTTACTTTTCTTTTTTATCGCCTTTCTTTCTATTTTTTTTATCGCCGTTCCATTTTATTTATTATCGTCTTTCCTTTCTTTTCTTTTTTTATCATCATATATTTTACAGCCACCTTTCATTTCTTTTTTATCGCCTTTCTTTTCTTTTTATCGCCTTTCTTTCCTTTTCTTTTTTACCGCCATTCCTTTCTTTTCTTTTTGTCATTTTTTTTTCCTTTTCTTTTTTATCGACTTCCTTTTTTCTTTTTATAGCCTTTTCTCTCTTTTCTTTTTTATCGCCTTATACACCTCAACCACGTTTCAGTTCTTTCTTTTCTTTTTTATCGCCTTTTTTTTCTTTTCATTTTTACCGCCTTTCCTTTCTTTTCTCTTTTTACCACCATTCATTTCTTTTCTTTTTGTCGCCTTTTTTCCTTTTCTTTTTTATCGCCTTTCTCTTCTTTTTTACCGCGTTTCCTTACTTTTTTTTATCGCAGTTCTTTTTTTATTTTTTATCGTCTTTCCTTTCTTTTCTTTTTATCATTGTATATTTACAGTCGCCTTTCATTTCTTTCTTTTTATCGCCTTTCCTATTTATTATCGCTTTTCTTTTTTCTTTTCATAGGTTTTCCATTCTTTTTTTTTATCGCCTAATATTCCTCAATAGCGTTTCATTTCTTTCTTTCCTTTTTATCGCCTTTCTTTTCTTTTTTACCGCCTTTCCTGACTTTTTTTATCGCCTTTCTTTCTATTTTTTTTATCGCCGTTCCTTTTCATTTTTTATCGTCTTTCCTTTCTTTTCTTTTTTTATCATCGAATATTTTACAGCCGCTTTTCATTTATTTGTTTTTAACAACTTTCTTTATCGCTTTCCTTTTCTTTTTTATCGCCTTATATTCCTCAGCCTCGTCTCTTTCATTTTTTTATCGCCTTTCTTTTCTTTTCTTTATTTACCGCCTTTTCTTTTTTCTTTTTTATTGGTTTTCTTTTTTTTTAGCCTTTCGTTTCTTTTCTTTTTATCGCCTTTCTTTTTTATTTTTATCTCCTTATATTCCTCAGTTTCATTTTTTCTTTTTTCTTTTTTTTGTGTCTTTCTTTTATTTATGCTTAGTTTCTCCGTTTTCCATTCATTTTATCCACTTGACTCATTTTCATCTCCTTCTTTTTCATTCGTTATTTTTTCCTATTTCTCGTATTTTTGATCCCCTCAATTCTTCAGTTTCTTTTCTTCTCGTTTATATTTTTTGTTTCTTTTCTTCTTTTTTTTTCTCGTTGTCACTATTTTCTTCATTTTTGTAATTTTCTTTTATTTCTGTTTTTTTTTTTCAATCGTTATCTGTCATCGAAATTCATATTGTTTTCACTTTTAATCATTTATCTATTTCTTCTATTTTCTCTCTGTTCTACCGACATTTTTTTACCTACTTTTCATCACATAAAACAATTTGATCTTTAGATAAACAAACTGCAACACAGTACCAATTTACACGACAGGATTATTCTGAGTCGGCAAACTCAGCCTAACAGAAGTAAACATTGGCATAGTCTGAAAAGAGATTAGTAGAGAAAGAAAGAGTCAGTCAGATAGATAGATAGATAGATAGATAGATAGATGTGGGGAGGACAGGGAACGGGGAGAATCCTGGAAATCGTAAATATAACGCGTTAGATGAAACAACGATACACAGATTTAGATAAAGGGTTTGCTTTGCTCTTGTGTTAGAATTGTTCCTTTCTGGTTAACATCGATTTATATCTTTGTCTGTGTTTTGCCGATGGAGTGTAGGGTCACGGTTAGGGATTAGGTGAAAGTTTATCAGATAGGTTTTTCTCATTTTATGATAAATTTCTTTCCAAAATTCATAGGTAGACTCACTTACACAGATACGGATATATATATATATATATATATATATATATATATATATATATATATATATATATATACATTTTGTTGTTTGGTGGGGTTAAAGGGAGTGCAAAAATTGTCTGCATTGTCCTTTGTTACAAATGCTCTCAGCTACTTTTTTTTAAAATTAATTTTCAAGTGGGGGTCTGTTTTTAGGTGCTGTTCATTTTATTTCATGTTTGACTGTTTAAGATGTATTTTTGTGTTGTTTTGAATATTAGAAGGAGCTTTTCTTTTCGAGCCCTCACCAAATGAAAAATATAAAAATTCTTCCTTGTCTGTCATATTCAGATATATATATATATATATATATATATATATATATATATATATATATATATATATATATATATATATATTGTGGTAAAATCGGACAAAACTATTATATAAAGGAAAATTAAGAACATCTTTATGAATTTAACATATTTGGTCTTTTATTTATATTCTTCAGAAACTTTTGTAAGTAGAAATATATATATATATTAGCCAAACTTTCCCTGACGACCTGTTTAGGTGAAACCTAGGTAGGTTTGTCTGGCTCACTAGGTGTATATATATATATATATATATATATATATATATATATATATATATATATATATATATATATATATGTATGGTGTTGCAGCAAAATCCGACACTTGACAAAAGAAGAAACCTGCGGAAGTTATGGCCTGGTTTGGGTTCAAGAGGACCATGGTCATGGACATTTGGAGTTAGTGGAAGACGTGTGAGAACAAGGATGAGTTTACTGCCAAACGAAAAGCCCACAACGTTCGTTAGGACGGACGAGTTTGTTGCCGCCGTCAAGCAGAAATCTATAATGATGGAAGCCAGAGCTATGTCAAGATCGCAGGTGGATCTGCAAAGACATCGAGGAGGTTCCTGTCGTGAAGCATACGAAGTTTCCCTCCTCCGTCATGGTCCTTGGCGTCATCTCCAGCAAGGGGGACGTCATGCCACTGGTCGCCAGACTTGTGGCCGCCCTCATCACCCGACTGCAACCCCCGTTGACTATTTCTTCTGGGCGTGATCAAGGCCAAGACGAACAAGCACGCCCATAACAAGCCGCTATGGACAGGGTCGCCAAAGCCTGTGACTCATTTCCGCCTTGAGATGGTCGTCGCCGCCAGCGGCGGTTACATTGAAAAATAATGCAGTATGTAACTCTGACTGTTGCTAAATAAACTGTCGGGTCTCTGCATATAAAACTTTTGTTTTTATTGCCTATTTCGTTTTCTTTTTGTCAAGTGTCGGATTTTGCTGCAACACCCTATATATATATATATATATATATATATATATATATATATATATATATATTATTTTACCCACATCGTCAAAAAATGTTGTTATACTTTAAGTTATTACTATTATTTGAAGTGTTTTTTATCTCATGTGAGTCTATCAATATATATAGCCGGCGCGTGAGAGATAATTTTCTGAAGTGACGTCACAGACATTATGTTTGGTGTATTATAGAATAAGCTATACGGTGTGTATATCAGTTTGTACCTTATCACTGATCTTTTCCTCTCACCATTGCTCAGTTGTGAAGAGAGTGGGGCTGACACAAAACGATTTTAACCTGTTCTATTTCTAGCTGAATAACACAACGAGTTTTTCAGTGATTTTTAGGACAAATGGTGTGAAGATGAGTAAACACAATTAGTTTTGTGGTTTGTTAGATATTAAACGTTTTGTGGGATGGATAATTATGCTGTTACACGATTTGGACAATTTTGCTGTTACACCAGCATACATATGTATATATATATATATATATATATATATATATATATATATATATATATATATATTTGGATGTTAAACCTGTGTGTATATATATATATATATATATATATATATATATATATATATATATATATATATATATATATAGTTATCTATAAATGGTTATATATATATATATATATATATATATATATGAATGTTTAGTATAGCATGAAAATGAAGGTATTACTTTTATTCCTGCCGATGTCCATTGTTGCCATCAGACGGGGTCCCGTGGTGCCCCGGTGACAGCGTAATTATCTCTGTTAATGTCTTTTCCCTGTTTTTATCGCCATTCTTTCCATGCCATGAGCCAAGTCTGGACCCACGTGTTTATTTTTGTTTCTTGTAACGGAAACATTAATAAACCAAGAAAATCTCAACAGAAATGATTTGATTTGTAAAACGCCAGAATGTAAAATTCACACCGTTCTCTTTGTTTTTCAGTTTTTTTTTTTTGTCTCGATGTGTTTCCATAGTCGAGAAGATCACGGGTATGCCCAATGGTTGATTCAGTTGCCTATTCTCATCTGTAAGCATAGTGCAACCCAGTTTTTTTTCCCTATCCTTCTTTCCTGTAACGTTTGCTTCTGTACAAAACAATACTGAGCATAGTAATTACTTTCTTTGTCTCCCTCTAACATACCACGCACTCTCTAATATCGTTCTGTCTTCCTTCAACATCCCTCCCTCCCTCTGTGACTTATTTACTTTCCCCTTTACCTGACTTCAATTTATATTTATCTTCCTTTACCTCGGATATAACTCTATTATTTTAAGCTCTTTTCCTGCTTCACTTAGACTTCTCTGTCCATGAGTTTTTATTTGACAGTAATATACAAGGCCCAAGAGCCACTCGGGTTACAGCGTTACAGAGGTAAGATGCACAATTTACAAAGGTATATTGGGAAGATAACTGTTAATCCTAGACTTGAACAGGTTAAAAATCAAGTAGCGGTTCGTTGAGATATGCTGTTCGAGTGGAACTTATATCTCACTAATGGAATACAAAGGGAATGAAGTAGTTCGCTACGATGTGCGTGGTATGGGGGCTCTCAGCCGTGAAGGTTAGAAATGGTGGAATTAAGGAGTGTAGTTCACCTGAACACTTTCTATGGAAATAGCGATAGAGTAGCGAGAGGCTTGCGTCGTTTAGTCTGTTGGAAGGAGGTTGTAGCATCGAAAATAATCCATCGCCCACAAGGACGTTAGACGTTTTTGGACTCTATCGAGAGTGGAAAACGAAGATAAACCAGCTCCTGTCTATATATGGCAGAAGTACTCCATTTTCGGCCTAATATGGTTCTAGTAAATGTAGAGCAGAGTCAGAATCGGTACAGGGAAACCGACCATTTTCCAGCATCTTCCTCTGACCCCCCCCCCCAAAAAAAAAGGGTTATAAGAATTCTGACGTTTGGACATATTTGGAGAATTAGACCAAATATACATCCAGCTATGAATCGTAAGCAAGGCATGGAGCCATCCTGAGAGAACACTTGTTCATATCGAAACGCGAAAATTCTGGCTTCCATCTTATTTTGCGTTTAATCTTTCTTTACCGTTTTTCCTCAGTTTTCTCTTCTATGTATTCTTTCGATTTCTGTCTCCTTCATTATTCCCTCGATCTCTCTCACTTTGACTTCTCTCCTCGTCGTTCGTCAATTTTTCTCTACGTATTAATTTGATTTTTTTCTACTCTTCGGCTTCCTTCGATATTTCTCCCTCTGTCTTCCTTCGATTTCTTTCTTTCTCTGTCTTTCCAACTCTATATATTCCTTAAGGGCGTGGAAAACAGCTTAGATCAACAAAAGGCAGGGAAATGATTGGACATGTCATATAGAAGAAGACTATATCACATCAGTTGCCAAATACGTCAGCAAGACCAAGCCTGGACACTAAACAAATTGCTAACAAGATTTAACAAAGAAATAAATTTCTCATTGTTACAACGTAGCATCCCTGTGCCTTTTCTGTGAATGTTTTCTTTGGTATCTCGATTTTACGACTTTGCCCTTTAACAGATTTGCAACTAGAAGTAACCGTAAGTTCTATTCTAATAGTTTCTTCTCTCGCAATTTTCACCTTTGGAACTCTCTTCTAGCTTACCTCTCATTTATGAGCTTCAACAATATAAATGCAACATCAATCGCCATCTTCTGTCTCCTCGAATCCTGTTCTTTTTTATTGCCCTCTCTCCTCAATAAAGTTTTCCCAGTTTCTTTTAATCTCAGTAACCCCTTTGTGCCTGAGTGGCTTTATCATAGTTTTTTTTTCAATGGCGACCGTGAGGAGTACATATTTTATTTGTACAGTGCTTATAGCCCACTTTCCTGGCGGTTAATTTTCCTATGGTGTATTGATGGCGCTGAACTTGCCGGGCGCGACTTCACTGCTCTGGTGCGGAGAGTGAACCCCTACTTCTTTTATAAGCCGTACCCCTTCAGGACGTAGGCGATCATGGCGCTCCTCCACTTCCCCCTATCCATTTTAGTTCTCAATATGTTTTGTTTTTTGCTACTTCTCCCAAACTCTGTTCTGTCATCCACTTGCTTAAGCCCGCTAGGTATGTCACGCGTTGCTTTCCCTTGTCTCTCTTTCTCTTTGCCAATTCTCCAAGCACTTTTTTCTCATTACGTGTCCCAGTAATTTAAGCTGCATCTTTCTGATGTTAAGTACAAGCTTCCCCCTTGTTTGCGTCCTCTCAAAAGCCTCATCGTTGCTCACATGTTCGGTCCATGGTATCCTAAACATCC